GATTTCACCCAGGTGGCTTCAGACAACGGGTATCCCTTCCATTGTACTAGGTACTGCAATTTCCCTTTAAAGATTCTAGAGTCAAGAATATGTTTCACTTCATAGTGGGTCTGTCCCGCAACTACGAGGGACCCAGGTGCTTTCTTCGGGGGAGGTCTTAAAGTGGAGCCCCGATAAGGTTTTAACAAGCTGCAATGGAAGACTGGGTGAATTCTCCCTAAAAGTCTAGGGAGTTTTAGTTCTACGGTGACTGGATTGATGATCCTTACTATGGGGAAAAGCCCCAAGAATTTTGGTCCCAATTTCTTGCTGGGCAATTTGAGGCGTAGATATTTAGTTGACAAATAAACCTTTTCCCCAACTTGGAATGTTCTTTGGGGAGCCATCAGCTTGCTCAAACCTTACCAGTTTGGAATGCTGTTTTGCCCGTATGCCCATTTTCATGGCAAATGGCAGACTAATAATGCAGCGGGTACATCCAGAATCAATTAGCACGTTTAAGTCCATTTGTGCCCCAGATTTAGGGATTATAAGTTTGGCGGCCAGTGAAAAAGGCGGGATTTGTCGACTCACCATCGGGTTGTTCTCTCCTTCATCGTCACTGTCAAAGGAGGGTAGAGCAGGGGCGGATCCACCTGGAGTCTCGGCGTTCTCCTGCATGGGGAGTATAATCTGGGCAAAAGGTTCCTGCGTGAGCCGGTTGGATTTTTCTCTCGTTATCCACTGAGCAGGTTTTTTTCTCATTGCTGGTTCCAGTCTGCTCTGCAGTTGGGGGTAGGGGACTGGACAGGTTGCCGCTCGATGTCCCTTTTGTCCACACTGAAAACACTTAATATTTATTTATTTTATTTATTTATTTATTCATTTATTAAATTTATATACCGCCCTATCTCCCTTGCGGGACTCAGGGCGGTGAACAGGCGATACTAAAAACCATGGTAATAAATAGTTTGTTTTAAAATCGAATTAAATAACGGGCCTGTTCTAAAAACACACCCGTAAAAAACCCCCCACTGAAACATAATCAAGCTACGCCAGGCCGGCCGCACGGAATAGATGGGC